CAACTAATCAGATATGATACTCATTCCTAATAAATTGATAAGTGGATAAGCAGTTTGAGTACACTTTTAGGTTTTAAATATTTTATTTATTAACACAATTAATATGCAATCAGATTATATACCCGGACACAACAATTTGGAAGTTGCCTCTGGTATGAAATCTCTGCAAATAAGAAGTTTACTCTTTTTTGTGAACACTGTTTGGCTATGAGTTGGTCCCTATGATAACTTAATCCATTGAACTCTTTGTCCCAATACGGCATCATATCCAGGGACCAAATCTTCTCTAATGCCGTATAGTTGTGTTGAGAGACATCACAGGACTATAGTATCACAAATAGATCGATGGGATAGCTTTTAAGATAGCCTATAAGAGTTAGCTTTAAGAAGAGAGAGAGAGCCTGTAATGAATGGCTAAATGTATTTCTAATTCAATTTGAATACACATTATAAAAACGAAATGAACGCCAATTTGAAAGCATCAGAAAAATCATATTTTATTTGAATATCTCATTCGGACTCTCATTGCTGTCTGGGACTCATTTGTCTCACTTGGATAACTTTGAAAGGTGTTTATTGATACCGTACTGTGTAGTACATCATTCTATAAAGCATCCTAAATGTTAAAGTTGTTATTAGACAGGATTTTGAATGTATTTTAAAATAACTTATAGTTTATTTAATTAATTAATATTAATGTCTTTTTAATTAATTATCATTTAAATTTACATATGATTTTAGAATTTTCAATTTCTTATAAATATTGATAAATAGGCAATTATCGGTGGGTTAGGTCACCGGTGCTCCAAAAAAAGTCGACACTATTTAATACTTTTTCAAAAGCTTTTTAATTTATAATTATGACTTAAAAGTTTTAAGTTAAAACTCAATACTGTACATAAGTGGTCATACAGTATGAGTTCAAACATTAGTGCAGAATAGTTGGCAAAAGTTATACAATATTGTAATCAAATTGTATTTAACATTAATAATCATGAAACAAAAAATTCTACAATATTTTAAAGTTGATGCATTCATGTATGCCCTCATCAATATTTACGATTAAATTATTTGTACAATATACAATGTATATTTATCTAATTTAATAAAATAGTTATTATGAATAAAGTTATTTTAATTAATTTATCACAAATTATTATACCGTATAACATTACTAAATAGCAAAAATAAAACATTATGGCTATTTATTAATAGGTACGATATTAGTGGCAAAATGTTATCGTAAACAGTATTTAACTTAAATAATTTAAGTCACCAATAGATTGGCAACATTTGCCCTTGTAAGTTGCAACTATCACTTACAGTATTTATATTAACTTTAAAAATTGTCCATGGTCACAATTAAATATTATATAATCCATAATTCGCTTGAATTTAGCGCCAGTTTTGTGGCAATAGTTGTGTTGTTTTGATATAATATTAATAGTTTGAGTGAAAAGCAGCTGTTTTTGTGTTGTTTTGTGTTTAAAGTTCACAAAACTTGACGCTTGCATGTCATCTGTGGTTAAGAGTTCTTCGTTGCGCTCACAATGAGATCCAATTCAATATCGTATCCAATGATCACTATTCAGAGCGATTGGGATCAAGTCATCAGACGGTAAGTCTCAGACACCAATCAATTGTATCGACTTTTCCCGTCATTATTGTCGATCACTTGACAGACCCGTCGCTAAT